AAATGACCGCGAAACTGAACGTCACTCGATATGTCAACGCCGAGAATACCGATACTGGCTGTGGCAACCAGGGGAGTGTTCTCAAACCGGAAAGTGTTAATCGTTTTTTACTTAACGGAAAGTGTTAATCGTTAATCGTTTTTTAAAACCTTTGAAATAGTATCAAATATTTAATAACATGTCCAAATAAATACATCTGGACATTTAACTTCTTTTTCAATTATCCTATTATTATCACTTGAATTAGCTTTAATGTTTCAGTTATTGCTATCCCTATCATCCCTCTATCCTTCTCTATCTACCTTTCGAACCTGGGAATATACTGGAACTCCTGGCGCACGCTGCTCCTCGTGTACTCCGCACCTGGTCTCGTGGCTGCGGTGTGGATGCTGACGATAAAGGAGAGTCCCAAGTACATATACGCTCAGGGAAAGGAACAGGAGGCCATCGACATTATTAAGAGCATTCACAGGTTGAATAAGGGAAGATCCGCAGCAGAATTACAAGTAAGGGGTAAATAAAACCACGGTTTTTTATCCAAAACTAACTAAAGCGCCAGAGGCATATAGCAGAACACAATTTGAAACGAAGATATTGGCAGGACAGTCATGTTCATAAGTTCTTCTAGTCGTAGTGATCCAATCTGAGTTATCATGTTTTATTTGTCTAACATTAATGCGAGCTTTAACTTCGCTTTATCGTAATTAAAGCTCGTACTGGTTTAGATCTCAGGTCTGATATATGACGCCCAGCAGTCGTCTGGTCCGTCCTCGACAAAAGAACAGATTGTGCCGCTATTCAAAATGCCACTGCTCAAGTATACCATCATAATGACAATACTCTACGTATTCCAACAGTGAGTATCCACTTTTTGAAACATCCAACATTATTCAACAACAGAAATGGTTAGTAATTGATAATGTTAAATACAGAGTAGTCGCATTCGGGGTTTGGCTGCCGTCGATTGCCAACCAATTCGTGCAGATCGTACAGACTGGTGAGGGCACTGACCAAAGTCTCTGCTCTATACTTAGAAACAGCGTAGATGCCCCTGCTGATGTGAGTATACAGTTTAAAAATACAAAATTATGTTGACAAAACTCATACATGTCTTGATTCGTTCTATGATACCTTGTGATTCCGTTATTTGCAGCCAGAGGCAGTGCCGTGCTCTCTCAACGTGATCTCTCTCCTGCTAGTGCTACTGGTTGGCGGGCTTCAGTCTGTGGCTAACGGACTCCTCAGCTTGGTAGTTTATGCCTTTATGACTTTATGTCCAAGATGTTTTTATAAAAAGTCCTAAACTAACATAAACATATTTTAGGATTCACGTTTCAATTTTCAGTTCGAAAATCCAAAGCTTACATCATGTCTTTTTAAAAGAATATCACAGAATAATCGATATTTGTAGCTTTTTCTTCAACATTGAACAGTACAGAAGCTCAACTTGCAGTATTTCTGTACTAATGTATTTTATAAATGTAATCTGCAGATAGTAGACCGCGTGGGTCGTCGCAATATGGCGATGGTGGTGGCGGTAGTTTGCGGGCTTGCAGGCATCGTTACCAACCTCATTCCCAACGCCTACGCCAGCGCCGCTTTCTTCATACTCTTCATGCTGGGGATCCTCATCGTTGGACTGTACACTGCCATGGCTGTCGCACTTTTCCCCACCAATCTCAGGTTAGCTGAATAATGTATATTTATAAGTCAATCCTCCTATTTCCACAGTTAAAGTAATGAATGTAAGCGATTTTGAGGACATTTTTGCAATAGATTTTCACCAGAATAGCAAATTTTACTGGACGTAACGAAATGTGGAAAGTTAAATCGTCTTGGAAGATAAAAACCGTTTGAAACAGTACATAGCGTGGCATAAGGACTGGAACAATACGATCCTCCTATCTGTATGGTGTTATGCCCTCTTTTTTCAAAATGGGGTCAAGTGACTCTAATACTGAACGCCGCTTTGAATATTTCCTGTAGTCTAAACGGATGTACTTCTGAAATTTGATCCATATTTTTTTTCATATCATCGTATGAAGTACTTTGTTCGGTCTTAGGGCTCTCGCGGTGGCGCTAACGATGACGGGCGGCAGACTCGGCATCTTCGCCTCCGTGCAGATCCTCAATCTTCTGCTGGAGGTCAACTGCGAGGCAGGATTCTATCTCTTCTGCTCGATATTCGCCTGTATGTATATTTTTTTTTCTAAATTTGAACTATGTTCTAAATTTGAATACGAAAGGTTTACAGTTGGTTTAATATCAGCGAAATACTAAAAATTAACACCAAAATAATAAACATCTGTTTTGTAACTTTCAGCTTCAGCTATCGTAGCAGCATTCCTACCCAATGACAAGAATTTACAAACAACACAGACAAAGAAAGAAGACACCTCATAGATTTTAAGTAAAATTAGGCATGCTTTGTAAATAAATATTATATAACGTAATTACTTGAATAATGATTTTTATTTTTTAAACTATCTTAGTGAACGTACATTATCACTAGAGACTCGAAAAAGGGGAGAGGAATATCAAAAAAACATGAAATATCACGACTTTTGTTTTTTTTTTAAATCGCATAATTGTTAAGCCAATTTTAAGGACAGTACAAAACTTGGACGAAATTATTTATTTGCTACAAGTCAAACTGTACGCCGTACACTTTTCAGTTTTGCTTATAGGCAAAGTTTGAATTTTACAGTTCAAGTTACAGATAAAACTAAAGGTGTGTTACGGGCTTTAGGTTTTAAAAAAGTTTTTTTTTAAGTAGTACATTACATTAACTGTCTTCAAATTTTTCATTTCTCCGTTCAAGCTATTTCCCAAAAAAACTCAACAACAAAGTTCCAATAGTCCAATAGTCCAATAGTTGAAACGTGTTCTAAATTTAAATTTTGCGTTTTTCGATATTGATAGAAAGTCTAGTAATGATGTAGTTACCGAATGTTATGGATTTTAATTTTTAATAGTTCTCCCTATGTATCCAAACCTGAAATGCGTTGCTTCTGTGGTGTCCTCAGAATAGCCTATTTCAAAACCAAAAAAAATCAGCGTAAGGAATTTTTGTAACTACAATAATTGATTTTTAATTTTTTTATAGCCTTTGCCCGCAATAACATAAGCGTAGAATAAAAAACACTTAGTAAGTAGCGTTTGCTCGATTGGAAACAATAATTTCTGTGCCAAATTGTATTTGACTGTCGGTTGAGTATTGCAAATTTTGTGAACGCAGCACACATCGACTTTTGACCGGTGATGTATTTAAGTACGTAATCAACTCCAAATTTTATCTTTAATCGTCCTGTAGATAACGAAAATGACACCGTATATATTTTAATTTATTTAATTGTCGGTGTTGCTCGAGTTTGTCGTGTGGAAAAAAAATTATGCTCAATAAATTTAAGACCGTTAGAAAATTTATAGTAAACTTTAACAGATATTTCAAAAATAAAATCTTAAACGTTCCTAAGTTAAAAAAAGTAGTTTAGTTTATAAGAAAAATGTATAACGGTAATAAAAATGAAAACGATGGTAAAGTCGCATTCGAAACTGCACTCGATTTGGCGGGTAAGTAAAATGTAAATGTCTATAGCGGTTGCTCAAGACTTCCATATTTACATAGCGTTTTAAATTTCATTTTATTAGTATTGTTAATCTACTATATTCAATTTTTTTTTTCAAATAGTATAAGTTTTTTTAAATCGCTCCAGTACTTAGTTTTTGACTTTCGTTTCTTGCTCGGAATTCAATCAAGGTAGAGTTGGGCTATTTGTTTTTTTTTTAAATCTCAAATATTAAATTATAACATTCCACAAATAACTGACAGGTTTCGGTTTATACAACTATAACCTGACGGCACTGACTGGGTTCATCATCATCGCGTACGCGTGCATTGCGTTTGGCACCACTATCATCATCCCCGCGAGCGCCTGCGAGCTTGGCACCACCAGCGCGCAGCAGGGACTCATCGCTGCTGGACCTTTAGTTGGTACGTAAAGTCCTTAGTATTGAAATTTACCATATTAGCTATGATTTATTGAAACAGTTGAATTCTTCATAGATAATGTCTTTAACATCTATTAAAACTCTAACGGCTAAAGTCATAGAAATCTCACTCCACCTCAGGGGATAGTTTAGTCACTCGCCTAATCAGTATGAACATGAATGGAAATGAGTATAATATCGGTTTACCGACTTTTTAGTTATATATGATTTTGGCTTGACAGCCCTACTCGATCCAACTACCGGCAGATATAAAGTCTGTAGTCTGCGGGGGTTCTATGTCAATTTTAGCACTTCAACACCTCAGAAAAACAATTTAATAAACAAATATAAGGACGTAGACGTATTTCTATTTAATGACATATTTGATAATTTAATTCATTGCCCCAGGTATAATCCTGGGCGGCGTGTTCGGTGGTTACCTTGGCGACAAGTTCGGTCGTCGGCGCATGTTGTTCGTGTCCCTGCTCTCCGCGTCCGTTGTCAACGCATTGGCCAGTATATCAGTTGACTGGATCATGTTGTTGATACTACAGTCTATCGCCTCTTTTTGGTAAGTTGAACTGTAAAGTTTAACTAAAAAGTTGAATACAGGTGTGTAGCGGACTTAATGAACTTGATATGTTTTCCGCATTCGCATGGCTAGCACACCTATCAGTTTAGGCGACGCTAGAAGGTTAGGCCCTATATTGATCAATTTATCAGTTAAAAAACCCGGTAGATTAGAATTGTTAAAACCATGACATTATTGTCTAATCAGCAAATATTTTTTATAGTAATCTTACCTTTAAAAATATACTCATCGTTATAAATTTCAATAAATACCAGAAGCGATAACAGTATTTTGATAAGAATATTATTGTGCTGTTTGCACAATACAATTAAATTTTTTATGACCTTCAATATTATGACTTTTACCTAAAAGCAAATAGATTAATTTCAATGTTTTTATACGAAAAAATAGATTTAATTAACACCGAACTATGATGAATTATTTTTTAACTTGACTGTTTTTCCGGCGCAGTGCTGCCGGCAAGTACTCGTTGTCAATGACGATGCTCAGCGAGAGCGTGCCAATGGCCAAGCGGAACCTGGTCGTGTTATTAGTCACTAGCATATTCCTGCTGGCACAGGGAATTATGGCAGGTAACAAAATCCTGCTTTACACTTCCCTTAATCGCCCTTACCTTACCTTACCTTAATTCTTCCACAGTTCTGATTTTTAATTTAATATTGCTAATAAAATAACCTTTTTCATTTCAGTTATCGCTATCCCTATCATCCCTCTATCCTTCTCTATCTACCTTTCGAACCTGGGAATATATTGGAACTCCTGGCGCACGCTGCTCCTCGTGTACTCCGCACCTGGTCTCGTGGCTGCGGTGTGGATGCTGACGATAAAGGAGAGTCCCAAGTACATATACGCTCAAGGAAAGGAACAGGAGGCCATCGACATTATTAAGAGCATTCACAGGTTGAATAAGGGAAGATCCGCAGGAGAATTACAAGTAAGGGGTAATTTAAACCACGGTTTTTTTTTTATCCAAAATTAACTAAATAGTCAGCGACCTTGAGTAGAACACAAGTTTAAACGAAGCTGTAGGTAGGACAGCCATGTTCGTGTTATGTCGACCCAATCTGAGTTATCATAATGTTTGATTTGTTTACTATTCATGCGTGCTTTAACTTCGCTCTTTTATAATTAAAGTTCCTTCTGTTTTAGATCTCAGGTCTGATATATGACTCCCAGCAGTCGTCAGGTCCGTCCTCACCAAAGGAACAGATCGTGCCGCTGTTCAAAATGCCATTGCTCAAGTATACCATCATAATGACAATACTCTTCGTATTCCAACAGTGAGTATCCACTTTTGGAAACATCCAACATCATTCAACATCACAAATGGGTAGTGATTGATAATGTTTAATACAGAGTGGGCGCATTCGCGGTATGGCTGCCGTCGATTGCCAACCAATTCGTGCAGATCGTACAAACTGGTGAGGGCACTGACCAAAGTCTCTGCTCTATACTTAGCAACAGTATAGATGCCCCTGCTGATGTGAGTATATAGTTTAAAAATACATGATTATATTGACAAATTCCATACAAGTCTTGATTGGTTCTATTAGACTGTGTGATATTCCGTTATTTGCAGCCAGACGCAGTGCCGTGCTCTCTCAATGTTATCTCCCTCCTGCTAGTGCTACTGGTTGGCGGTCTGCAGTCTGTGGCTAACGGACTCCTCAGCTTGGTAATTTAATCGCCTATTTAAATTTATTCCCAAGATTTTTCATATAGTAATCTATATAGTTACTTTAACGAGCAGCATATTTGTATTGAACTTCAAAAACAAATGTGTTCTACAGATAGTGAACCGCGTGGGTCGTCGCAATATGGCGATGGTGGTGGCGGTAGTTTGCGGGCTGGGAGGCATCGTCACCAACCTCATCCCCAACGCCTACGCCAGCGCCGCCTTCTTCATACTCTTCATGCTGGGGATCCTCATCCTAGGACTGTACACTGCCATCGCTGTCGCACTCTTCCCCACCAGTCTTAGGTTAGCTGAATGATGTATATATTTATGTCCATCCTCATATTTCTAGGATTAAAGTAATCAATGTAACCGGCCTGGAGGATATTCTTGCAATACATGTACAGCAAAAAAAAACACTTTACTAGACGTGACGAAATTACGATTGATAAATTGTTTTGGAAGACAAAAACCTTTTGAAAAAGTACATTGCCACTCTATGTCTATGAAAATACGTTGTACGGTCTTAGGGCTCTCGCAGTAGCGCTGACGATGACGGGCGGAAGACTTGGGACCTTCGCCTCCGTGCAGATCCTCAACCTGCTGCTGGAGGTCAACTGCGAGGCAGGATTTTATCTCTTCTGCTCGATATTCGCCTGTATGTATATTTTTTTCTCTAAATTTGAACTGTGTTCTAAATTTGAATACGAAAGGTTGACAGTTGGTTTAATATCGGCGAAATACTAAAAATTAACACGAAAATTATAAACATCTGTTTTGTAACTTTCAGCTTCAGCGATCGTAGCAGCATTCCTACCCAATGACAAGAATTTACAAACAACACAGACGAAGAAAGAAGACACCTCATAGATTTTAAGTAAAATTAGGCATGATTTGTAAATAAATGTTATGTAACGTACATTAATTTAATTATGATTTTTATTTTTGTAACCTATCTCAGTTAGGTTCATACCAATGTATGCATACTCGAGACTCGAAAAACGGGAGAGGGGTTTCGAAAAACACGTAACATCATCACGACGCACACGAACGGTAAAATAAGACAACACGTGTTTTCACTTCAGTTTTTCCTTCAGGATGGCGATGCACGACCCTGATAAAAATCTTCCCCAAGTTTTAACAAAGGCTACTTGGGACTAGGTCATGTAACTTTACAGAATTGTTTTGCTTGATAATCGTAACAAAATAAAAGTTTCCGACCCCACGCTTGATTTAGTTAACGTTTTATTTATTTTCACAAAGTTTGGGAATTACTCCGTCAGGGGACCCGGAAGTTTTGGAATATGAAAGCCAAAATTTGTTTCAACTTGTCTATGAAACAATATTGATTTTATTTTTGTCTATAAAATTCAAAACATATCTATGGTCCATAAGTTGTCTTATTTGTCAATTTTCAACATTGTCAATGTCAAATTCTTAGTGCTTTTCTATCTTATTTATAACATTTCAAAGCGCCACAATAAATATTTGGTTGATTGTAGAACGACATTTTCCAATGTAGATTATATTTAAGTTATTCATAATGAGTTCCCAATCTAGGGATTTAGCATCCTGTTCGTCAATCTCTGAAAATAACGATGAAAACATTAACAACAATGATGATCTTGAGGTATCTTTATATCTATTTACTTATACATAATTTAGTTATAAATCACAAATGAATTTTTAAATAATGTAGTGTTTACTTTAGTCTTAGAACATAGTATATTTATTGTATTATAAATACAATCTTACTCTAGTTTTTAGTTATTTTGTTTGTTTATTATGTAAACACTGTATTTCCAGGTTGATAATTCTAGATGCGTTCTCCTAAAGATAGCCACAATGTATGCGGAGCAATTAATGAGTGATTTGATCCTTGATGTTGGAGGAGTGGCATATCCAGTGCACAGACTCATTCTGTGTGCTAGCAGTGAAGTGTTTCAGGTAAAGTTCCAATAAGAATGTTATTGTCAAAGACATTGTTAGATATTAAATATGTCAGACTATCTTTCGACACATGAAATTAAAAAAAAAACAAAAGTGAGGAGCCTATGTGTTCTTCCAGACTGTCTATGCCAAATTTCATTGAAACCGATTCAATGCAGTTTAGTGTTTGGGCTACTTACACTAACAAATATCCATCCATCTAAACTTTCACATTTATAATATTTGTTAAATTAAAAAACCCAAATCTTACTTGAAAATTCATGCCAAATATAGATAGTACAATTTTTTTATAAAACAAACTATTTTTTAATTTGGGAGCTATTACTACACAATATTTTGTTACAATGTTTAAAATAACATTAATGCAAAATGGATCTATTATTTGTTATAATTTTGTTTCTCTATCATTAGGTAATGCTGATGAATAGAGAATGGAGTGAGTGTAAAAAGACACGCATTGTGCTCCAAGAGAATCCTGTTGCGGCATCTGTCTTCCCACAGTTTCTTAAGTATGAATAACTTATATATTTTTACATACTATTGGTGCTTTAAAGAGAAGGGTGAATATACAGTAGAACCTCGATAACTCAAACCTTGGTAACTTAAAAACCTCTAAACTTCAAAAAATAATATGTTCCCTTCCTATCAGAGCCCTAAATCTCTGTAACATAGACCCTTGATAACTTAGAATTTTTTGTGTTTCCCTTGTACTTTAACTTATCAAGGTTCTACTGTATTATAAAGCTAGTGTATTCCATATTTCTACATCACCACTTAACAACAAGTGTGATTGTGGTCTTAAAAAAGTTTATACTTTAATTAAAAAAGTTATTGTTGAGTAATTGCTGAGCTATACAAGGAAGAGTGCGGAACAATTTATAAAGAGCATAAATAAGTATTAGCCTTTGAGTTGGAATGTTATGACATAAAATTATTGTCTATAACCATTTTTACTGATGTGATGTATGATAGAGGTGGACAAAAACCTGTTGTGCCGACCCTACAGAAGTAGGATAAGGATAATGAACCATTTATACATTTTCAGATATTTCTATACTGGTCAAATTAAAATATCACACCAAACAGTTCTACCCGTACTATCTCTTGCTGATAAATATAATGTTTCGGTAAGTATAATTTATAAAAAATCATTATTTTTTACAAAAGTCACATATTATGGCCTCGCGATCCATCACAAGTTACTACCCTATTTTAAACTCCTGTTCCATGCCCATAAAGGAGAATCGGAACGGAAAGACCAAAAATCTAAGCATGACATGAGGCCTGCGTCTATAACCGCCTGCCGGACCAGCGGCTACCAGCCTCGCGTCATTTAAAAATTAACTAAAGTCATGGCTAATACAAAAAGCCTTCTATAGCGTGGAAAATTTTTTCCTGCCATGATTCTTTTATGTACACAATTTTTATTCAGAATATCTGTCAAGTTTTTTATTTTTTAACATTATGACTTGTAATTCGCTTAATAAACTATTTGTATTTGAATCAATAAAGTATTTTTTTTTATATATGCATTATATTTTTAGGATTTGATGACATTATGCCTGGAGTACATGGGCCAGCATGTAGCTCAGGCAGCACAGCGCGGACAGCTCATTGCTTGGATGCAGTACACAATGGCCTGCGGACATAATAAAGTGGCTAAAGTGAGTACTAAGTTATATGTTACTTTATGTTATCAGCAATAATTTATTGATACCTGATTAATTCCTATTAATTTCGCAATATTAGTAATAATAAAATATAGTCTATTGTACTCATATATAAATTACTTTTGAATAATTATACTATTATAATAAAGCGTAAACACACACTACTTTGTTGCCTAAGATCTCAGCAATTACAGCATATTTTTGAATAATTCTTTGTTTAATAAAAAGCCATACACTTGCTTCACGCTTTAGGCTTTATATTTTAACGCCATTAAACTTAGGGGGTGAATATTTTGGATAAAAATCCTAATGTGGAAAAGAGACCATAAGTTGCTGCCAACATCAAGGAAGCAAGGTTGTCATCATGTCATGTCACTTTCACATTCAAAATTGATAATTTGACAAATGTAAACAATAAAATAAAACTTTCATAATATCATGCGGATGAAGTCGCACGGGAACAGCTAGTGGTGCAAGAATTTTTAAAATTGGCCAAGTAATTTTTGCATGAATCCAAATCTTCTCTCTTTAACCCCTTTGCCACAGTAATCGACTGACTAAATGTGCTTAAGTGTGGTTTAAAAATAAGGTTGTAAATACGTTTGTTGCGTATGTAGGCGTGCCAGAACTTCTTCAAGTGGAACCTGGAGTGGAGCTGGCAGGACAGCGAGCTGGACGAGCTGGAGGGGGAGACGCTGGCGCAGCTGCTGCAGCAGAACGACCTCGTCGTGCACAACGAGATGAGCGTCTACAAGTTAGTATAATATAACAAGTGTTAAAACTTAAATTAATTAAATAAGATTACTTATGTTGTAGTGGTTAAGTTAAAAATGGTGTTTTTTATAATTTTGTGTTATTTATTTGGTTGAGAAATATAACGACTTGTAATTTGAAGACATAGTATGCTTTTGTATATCTATGCAAAAAAATTACGGTTTTAGAGGAACGTTTTTCTTTTTTTTTTAATAACAAGGTGGCAAACGAGCAAGCGGCCACCTGAAACCGCCAAAATGGCGAAGCGACCGCTGCTCATAG